GGCTGCGCAGGAACCCCGGAACCAGGTGGCTTTAGCTCAGGCAGACGGGCTGCTGCGCTTCCCCTTTGCAGCCGCTACCATTCTGCCGGCTTCAGGAACAGACCAGGGTGGGCAAAGCTGGCCTGAGTTTACCTGGAATAAACAGGGCTGAGCCGAGCCGGGCTGAGCTGGGCTGAGCTGATCTGAGCTGAGCTGAGCTGAATTGGGCTGAGCTGAACTGTCTGAGCCGGGCTGGGCTGAACTGGGCCAAGCTGGGCCAGGCTGGGCTGAATTGGGCTGAGCTGAACTGGGCTGAGCTGAGCTGGGCTGGGCTGGGCCGAGCTGGGCTGAACTGGGCTGAATTGGACCGAGCTGGGCTGAGCTGAACTGGGCCGAGCTGGGCCGAGCTGGGCCGAGCTGGGCCGAGGGGCTGAGCTGAGATGAGCTGAGCGGGGCTGGGCCGGGCCAGGCCGGGCTGAGCCAAGCTGAGCTGGGGTGAGCTGAGCTGGGCTGGGCTGGGCTGGGCTGGGCTGGGCTGGGCCGAGCTGGGCTGAGCTAGAAATGAGCTGGGCTGGGCCAAGCTGGGCCGAGCTGGGCAGAGCTGGGCCGAGCTAGGCTGAGCTGGGCCAAATTGGGCTGAGCTGGGCTGAGCTGAACTGGGACGAACTAGCCCGAACCGGGCCGAGCTGGGCCGAGCTGGGCCGAGGGGCTGAGCTGAGCTGGGCTGAGCTGAGCTGGGCTGAGCTGAGATGAGCTGAGCCGGGCTGGGCCGGGCTGAACTGAGCTGGGTTGGGCTGGGCCGAACTCGGCCAAGCTGGGCCGAGCTGGGCCGAGCTGGGCCAAGGGGCTGAACTGAGCTGGGCTGAGCTGGGCTGAGCTGGGCCGAGCTGGGCTGAGCTGGGCTGGGCTGAGCTGGGCTGGGATTAGCTGAGCTGGGCTGAGCTGAGCTGAGCTTGGATGAGCTGAGCCGGGCTGGGCTGGGCTGAACTGGGCTGAGATATGCTGGGCTGAGCTGGCCTGAGCTTGGCAGGGCAGAGCTGGGCTCAACTGGGCTGAGCTGGACTGGGCCAGGCTATGCAGGACTGAGCGGGGGTGGGCTGAGCTAGTTTGGGCCAGACCAGGCTGAGCTTCGCAGGACTGAGCTGGGCTGAGCCAGGCTGAGCTGAGCTGGGCTGAACTGGGCTGTGCTGAGCTGAGCTGGGCTGAGCTAGGTTGGGCCAGGCCGGGCTGAGCTTGGCAGGGCAGAGCACGGCTGAACTGAGCTGAGCTGGACTGGGTTGGGCTGGGCTGAACTGGGCCTAGCTGGGCTGAGCTGGGCCGAGGGGCTGAGCTGAGCTGGGCTGAGCTGGGCTGAGCTAGGATGAGCTAGGCTGAGCTGGACCGAGCTGGGCTGAGCTGGGCTGGGCCGAGCTGGGCTGAGCTAAACTGAGCTGGGCTGAGCTGGGCTGGGCTGAGCCGAGCTGGGCCGGGCTGGGCTGAGCTGGGCTGAGCTAAACTGAGCTGGGCTGAGCTGAACTGGGCTGAACTGGGCCTAGCTGGGCTGAGCTGGGCCGAGGGGCTGAGCTGAGGTGGGCTGAGCTGGGCCTAGCTGGGCTGAGCTGGGCCGAGGGGCTGAGCTGA